TGAGTTTACATGAAATTTAAAAGTGATTACAATAAACTGTATTTAATAAATAAAGCACTGGCTAATATAAATGATCATCCAGGACAAATACCTCCCTGACTCTCAGCTTCATTTAATCAACGAGCAAGCATTTATAAAGTGTCTATTATGTACCAGGCACTGTGCTAGATGCTGAAATGAAGAGACATTTATTCCAAAAACTTAAAAAAAAGCCAAACCACACTTAGCTGGTTCCCCTATGTCTTTCTGGCCCACAATTTTTGATTCCTAATTTGAACATGAATACAGAATGAAAAATAACTGAATAAAAAGGCAATCCAGAATCAGATAGACTTAGTCAATCTGCTCTTCCCTATGAATGTTACTCTTAAATTCAAGTCAAATCAATCAGGAGCCAGTCTCTTATTTATTTTTCATCTTTTTGGCAATGCTCTTGACTTCTTGCCTTGAAAAGAGCCAGAAGTAGTTAATTCTACCTCATATTGGTCAATGAGACATGAGAATGCAGACCAGTAGATGCAAAATAAAAATCTCTGGTCAGAGTAGAGAAATGTCCCTTACAACAGTCTTCCAGAGCAGTGATTAAAGAACACTTGACTCAGCTTCTGATTCTTGAGACTTCACTATTCCTATCCCACCCCTGACCCACCATGCTGCTACTTCCTGATCACCTTCATGACATCACACATCCCAGTGCACACAGCACTTCCAGCACCACTTTGCACTTCTACCTCTGGAAACAGTATTCAAATTAATACTACCATTTTGGGCAAGAACACACTGAATCAATTGCTCCATTCACTATCCCCATGACTTCCCTGACCCCTATTAAAATATATTAAAAAAAACATCTTTGAGGTCTGGAATTATATTGTTTTTGGCATTTGTTTCCTTTACAGATTCTTGAGTGATAGAGACCTGAGTTCAAATTTGACCTCAGACACTTCTTAGCCATGTAACCAGGTAAACCATTTGCCCTCTCTCACTCTCAGTTTCCTCATCAGTAAAATGGGAATAATAATAGTACTTACCTTTCAGGGTCCTTATGAGGATAAAATAACATGTAAAGCACTTTCCAAACTTTAGAGTACTATGTAAATTCTAGCTGTTACTATTATTGTTGTTGTTATTGCTGTTGAACTAGAAGTTGGTAAAATATTTATAGTATATCTAGTGTTATAAGGAAGAATATAGTATTCCTGTTCTCCATAAATGGGTGATTCAATTGGATAGACAAAGCATATGTACATCAAAGAGTTAAATAATAATGTGAGAGAATATGTTTTTGAGTAACAGTATGAGTGGCAGGAAAAATAGAAGGGGGCATCAGTGGAGGCTGGGCTATCAGGTAAAGTCTCATGGAATACTAGAGCTAGGTCCTAAAAATCTCTGACAGACTGAGGATATGGGAAAGGGCATTCTAGACAGAAGGTACAATATGGCAAAGGCTTAGAGTTGGATTGAGCACGGACTGTTTGGGGGAAAGTGAAAAGGCTAGCAAGTCCAAATGGTACAGAGAGCTCATGGGAGAATAAGAAGAAATCAAGGTGAATAAATAGAATTTTTGCTAGACTGTGAAGCCCCCTTGACTACTGGCCAGAATGAGAGGATTAGGATTATCATCCAGCAGAGTAGCAGTGTCAAACTCAAATAGAAAAAGATGTCTACCAGAATCATATTGACTTAGAAAACCACAAATTAACATTATCTATGTTGAACTGTGTTTCTGTTTATTTTGTTAAGCCGTTCCCAATGACATTTGCATCTGTTTAGGGATGCAAAGCTTGAGAATTTTGCAGCAGCATGTGAGTTTGACACCTCTGTTGCAGAAAACAGGGAACTCCTGGAAGCTTCTGAGCAAAGTGTTCTAAGACTGAATCTAGATGCTCCCCCCAACCCCAGGATTACTGGAATAGAAGCCTGGACTAGAAGTCAAGAGTCAGTCTGAGTAGCTGTTTCAGTATTCTAAGAATAAAGTGTTGACAATATGAACTGAGGTGCTGGCAGTGAACAGGAATATAGAGAGGGAGGGAGAGGTGCAAGAGACATTTTGAAAGAAGAAAAAAATAAACCCTAGTGACTGGCCAGACCCTGGTTAAGGCAACCCCAGATGCTGTAGTTATATCATCCCATTTGTGTTGTCTCTCCCTATTAGAATAGGAGTTCCCTGAGGAAAGAAACTACCTCTATTTTCTGTTTGCATCCCGAGGGCTTAGCACAGTGCTTTACAAAAAGTAAGCCCTTAATAAATGCTTTAATTCAGTGGAGGAATCAAATAGGACCCAGAAACAGTGGGCCTAAGTGATGGAAAGAAAAGTGGTAACATTAATAGACACAGTAAATTGAAAAGGGGAATTCGTCTGGGGAAGGCTGAGTTTGACTTTGAAAATATTGAATCTAAGCTGATGGTAGGATATCTACACGGAAAAGTCTTGTAAGCAACATCAGTGAAGGTCTCTAGTGAGGCTTTCATATGTAGCTGTATAGATCGATCAATTGATAGATCGATTGATAGACAGCTTTCATATGTAGCTACATAGATAGGTATCTACATAAGTAAATATCTATCTACACTACATGTATAAATACACATTATACACATGTAGTGTAGATCTATAAATACGTAGTGTATATATGCATTATACACATGTAGTATAGATAGATATCTACTTGTATAGACATCTATCTACATGCACATGTACATACACACATAATATATAAAGAATATACATGTTTGTTATTTTTAAAAAATGTCTGTTTTAGATCCTGTTCTGAAATTATGGGAAGGTCCTGAATGGTGGATGACTCTATTTATGAGCAGATGGTTAAATAAATTATGATGTTCAAATATAATGGAATACTATTGTGGCATAAGAAATGAAGAAATGCTTTCAGAGAAACGTGGGAAGACTTGTATGGACTGATGCAGATTACAACAGGCTGAACTAGGAGAATAATTCATACTGTAACAACAATATTGCAAAAATGAACAGTTTTGAAAGACAGATGAGAAGCATAGAAGCTTGTAAAAATAGGCAGATAACGAGATTAGGGTATTTCAGGTGAAGTGGCAGGGAAGGCTGGAGAATGGAATAGTTTGAAAGATCATAGGATCATAGATTTAGAGTTGAAAGGTTCTTCAGAGGTCCCCTCAACCCCCTCATTTTACAGATGAGGAAACCAAAACTCAGAAAGGTTAAGTGACTTGCCTTAAATCACACACCTAATAAGAGTTAAGAGGAAAAATCTGAACCGAGGTTTTCCTTGGACAACATCCAGCACTTAAAAACATTATTCCATGATGTTGCTGCTTGGGAAAGGGGGGTTCTGGAGAGCTCTTTCTTATTTCTGTTTGAAAGCTCATCTACCAACTCATCTTCAAAAACTCCAACTGGGTTAAGTAAATGCTGGGATTTTATAGTTCTGAAAAAAAGAATAAGGTGGAAAGATGGAAGGGAATTGGGAGTCAGAGAGATCTGGCTCATGTTCAACTTTTATTTAGATTTCACCTTTGTACCGAAATTCAGTTCAATCAGCAAGCATTAATTAAGCACCTTTGAGATGGCATAGTATATAGATAGTAAACCTTGAGGCCAGGAAGAGTTGAATACTAGTCCTGCCTCTGACTCATGCTGTCTGTGTGACCCCAAATAAGTTCCATGACCTCTCAGTGTACTAGGCAACTCTCTAAGGCTAAAAGTTGTAGAGAAGGGGTGGATATGCACTGGGAGGAGTTTCCTCCCCTGGGGAGCTCTCTAGACCAATGAAATCAGAGGTCCAGTCTCTATCCCTGTTTCTAACTAGGTGCCTAGCACTATGTTAGGTACCACAAGAGAACAAAAGATGTACAAGGGACTGATTTCTTGCCCTTAGGAGCTCACAATCACATCAAAGAGACAAGGCCTCCACACAGGAAACACTTAGATTAGATTGTGAGCTTTTCCTCATTAGATTGTGAACTCCTTGAGGGGAGGGATTATCTTTTGCCTCCATTTGTATCACAGTGCCTGGCATATAGTAGGCACTTAACAAATGTTTATTAATTAATTTATTGATGGGCTGTTACAAGGGTGTACAGGGTATACACAATCAGGCCTACAGTGGGTGCTGTAGACCAAGAGTAAAAGAACTTCAGAAAAAGGAGTGATCCAGACTTACCTTTTTGAAAATTACAAGGGTTTTCCCTCACCTTTTCTCAAAGTCCTAACAGTCCAGCCAGAAGATATTTGTCTACGTATTCAAACCAGTCTCCTAACTTTACTACATAATTTACCTTGTATTGCTTTCTAACAAATTGTCCTAAAGATACAGGGGTTCTTGACTTCTGTGAACTTTAAAAAATATATATTTTGATAACTGTATTTCAATATAATTGATTTAATTTGTAATTCTATTTATTTTCTTTTATATATTAAAAAATATGACTCTGAGAAGGAGTCCCCAAGCATCAAGAGTGCCAAAGGGGTCTTTCATACAGACACAGACACAGACACACACAGACATACAGACACACAGACACAGACAGACAGACAGACTCCCCCCCCCTTAATTTAGAATGAACTGTAATAAAATCAGGTCACTGCAAACCTCCCATGACTACTATTTTATCCATTGCCAGGGGGTAAGTGAAGACCTCCAAAGCTGATATACATTTTAAAGTCAGTTATCACATGGATTTTACACTATATACTTTAATGTTTAATTTTCTCTTGCCAGATACTGTTGTCTTGTAAAACGAACACAGGGAGAAACCCATACAGATTTTAAAAATCCATGTGATTTTTAATGTCTGCCAAATGTTAATTACAAATTACTTATCATGAAAAACAGAAAATAAAAGCACTTTGAATCCCCTCCTTTTTTCTCTCCCTTCCCCACCAAAAAAAAAAAAAAGGAGCAGCTTTTTTTAAAGCTGTGAACCCAAAAGAACAGTCTTGCAGACAATGGTAAGAGGTAGGCTAGTTGCCAGGGAATTTCTAAAGAGTTTTCCCTCTTGTTACCTTGGTAACGGCTACCTTGGCACCCTTGTTGATAAGCTGCACCACATTATCCGCTTGGCCTTTGTACGCAGCTATGAGAAGGCGTTCTGAAAGCACAGCGACCACATCCTGCTGGCTCATGAATTAGGAGAGAAAGGTTTTCGGGCAAGTAGTGCACAAGTTCCCGTCAGTTCCAAACAAAGCCTGCGACCCAGGCTGCCCCCACAGACAGAGGTGTCTCCAACCTCATTGGAAGGTGAGTTTTATGACTATGCCATCTTCAGGACCTGTGGGTTACAAAACAAAATGGCCCTCAGTGTCATTCACCCCGTAGCCTGGTTCCTACCACTTTATTTCTTAGGAGAAGATCTTTCCCGACTGTTATTTGGTGGGGGCTGTGAGTAACTAGGAAAGGAATAAAGGATTAGGTCAAGCCATGCAAACTGGGTGGCTAAAGCAATGGACATGATGGAAGTTCCAAGATGGGTGTCCTGAAAATGAACAATCTCCTCTCATTTCTTTCCTCTTTCAGAAACGTTTTCCAACAGCATACATCCTTCATTGTATGGCATAAAAAGCATTGCATATAGGATCAGAGGACTTTGGATTCAATCCCAGCTCTATTCACTCCCTGTGCAATCTTGGGCAGGTCACTTATCTTTTCTGGGCCTCAATTTCCTCATCTGTAAAATAAGGGGATTGGTTCAGATGACTTCTAAGGTTGCTTTCAGTTCTAAATCTTTGATGCTACAATCCAGGTCCTCATCAGCTCTCATCTGGACAATTTCAAAATGGCCTCATATCATTGTTCTTGCTATGTAGTCTCCTCCCTTTTCAATCTGTCTTCCACATAGCTGCCAAACTGATGTTCCTAAATCCAAGGTCTAACAATGTCACTCCTCCACTCAAAAAGCTTCACTGGCTCCTCAGTACTTTTAAGTCAAATTATAAACTCTGGCATTTAAAGCCCTCTAAAATCTGGCTCTAGTCTATCTTTTCAGGCTGATTCCATGCTATTGTCTGGCATTCACTATAACATTACTGTTATTCAGTCCTTTCAATCTTGTCTGACTCTTCATGACCCCATTTGGGGTTTTCTTGGCAAAGATACTGGAGTGGTTTGCCATTTCCTTTTCCAGTCTATTTTACAAATGAGGAAACTGAGGCAAACAGAGTTAAGTGACTTGCTCAGGGTCACACAGCTAATAAGTGTCTGAGGCCACATTTGAACTCAGGAAGATGAGTCCTCCTGACTTCAGACCCAGGACTGAATCTACTATGCCACCTGGCTGCCATTCATTCACTTACATACATGAGCCTAACTAGAGTGCTTGCTTTTCTCTATACACAACATTCTATTTTCCTGTTTCCTTATCGTTTAAGAGAACATCTCCCCATGCCTGGAATGCTCTTTCCTCACCTTTGTGTCTTGGAATCCATCTAACTTTCAAAGCTCATTTCAAATGTCACCTCTTTCAAGAAATCTATTCCTGATTTCCCTAGTTGTTAGTGTTTGCCTTGCCCCACCCACACATTTTGAGGGATATATCCTGCATTTACTTCTCTGTGAACATCTGGTATTCCTTTGTAGAATGTAAGCTCTTTAAGGGCAGGTACTGCTTCACTTTTGAATCTGAATCCCCAGTACTCAGCATGGTGCCTGGCATACAGTAGGCATGGAAATGCTTGACTGATCGGATAAGCCTATAACTATAGGATGTACTACCTTACGTCTCTACTTTTGACTACCCAGACCCCAGAAACAGATCCGTGATGCTGCCTGGCTGAGATGCCATCTTTCTTTTGCCAGGAATATCTTCCAGTTTATTATACATGGCAGAACTGTCTGCGTTTTGCTGGTGTATTACCACTAAGCTCATCACACTCTCTCTTTTGTGTGTCATGTGCTTATTAGACTATACCACATTAACCTAAAAATGCCATGAGTTACAAATTCTCTCCTGGGGGTTTTCTCTGAGGGCAATAGTCATTTCTGTCCTTTCACCTTTATTCTCCATCACTGTGTAAAGCGCAAATAGAATATTGCACAGTTAACTCCTGCAACAATGTGCCAGAGAGAAGCCCAGAGCTAGTATTTTTTCTTAGTAAGTTTTATAACAAGTTCATACTGGAAAGAATTTGGAGACCACCTTACCACCAAAATGGAATTTCTATTTAGGCAAATGAAATATGCATGGTAATGTGACTTTACCAGTTGACAAGGGGGAGAAAAAAATTTTATTATAAACTACCTGCTGGGCATTGAGAAAGACAGCCTATCTCTGGGCAGCCAGAACCAGCAAGCCTTAGTTCCTCTTTCCACAAGCCTGCCAAAATAAACAGGATTTTACCACTAAGAACCAAATCTTTTTTGTTTTGTTTTTATATTTTAACTCAGCTCTCTCAAGACTAGTACTATAACCAGTAAAGCAAACTCATAGGCTCATGTTTAGATGCCTCATTTCCCACATCACTAACCTTGCACATCTCATAGGATGCTAGATGGGAATTGACGCAAATTTCAGAGTCCAATCTAGCATTTGCTATCCTGTGGTCTAAACGCTGCCCTGGAGCTGAAAGCAGCCCTGAGCCATAATTATAATAGAGCACTAAAAATTAATTGTTTCATCAGATTGCTTAAGTGGATTAATTTTCTCCTTTAGGAAAGGAGTGGCAGTTTAAGAGAAAAGAATACCCAACGGACCAATCCATCATTACCAGGATTGTAGAGCAGTTATAGTTTATCTTTCAAAACAAACTTAAGAAATATATAAGTGAAAAAAATAACTTAAAAGAAAAATGATGTGTCTCAAAACACATGACCCTTCAACACTGAGGCAGTCAACAAGGGCTTACTCTGTGCCAAGTACAGTGCTAAGCACTGGAGATACTAAGAAAGACAAAACAAACAAACAAAAAAACCCAAGCAAACAAAAAAACTCAGTCACTGCTCTCAAGTCCACATTCCAATGGGGGAGTCTTCAGTGCACATTTTCTTTTAGAGAGATCTGCCCATCTTTTGCTATTTGGTTACTGTCAGTTTAACAACCATGCAATTCCATCACTATGCAGCCAATCCCACAGTATAACTGATTCTTCAGTTGTTAAATGATCTAGTCCTCTTACTCTTCTGCTTCATCTGCAGCCCAAAATATAAATAGAGGTTATCAAGCAAAGGGAGAAAAGGGGAAATCTTAATAAATCCATCTGATTAAAACAAAGTCTTGAGTCTCTGTAGGTGACAGTTATCTATTCCCATTTTGGGCCGCAGGAACACAAACTAGCTAGAGATGGTCCTAATACAAAATGATGAATGACTTATACTTTTTCCTACTCTGTTTTTTCTATAATCCCAAGAAGAAAGCTCTCACTTTCAGAGTGAAATGCAAAGTGCGTAAGAACAATTCATTTGGAAATTATATCTAAAAATCTCTTTCCCTTCCACTAAAGTACGTATTTTTTTTCTTAAGGGATTGTTGAACTATTTGAAAGCATTCTTCCTTTTCCAAATATATGATGCAACCTCCCTCACATTTCATCAATATGAAGCACATCCAGACTAAATACATTAAGCCTCCCTTTAGGCTACATGATTACATCAGGGATTAAGAAAACCTATACTGGGCCCTAATGGCTAGAAATAATACAAGGGTAGATAGCCACAATACCATAGGTGAGCCCTACGCCCCCAAAATCTTTATCTTTCACTTGTATCCTTGTGGGTACTTACTATGACCTATATGCATAAAAAGGTGGAATTGGAGTAAGGAAGACCTAAGTTCAAATGCTTTCTGTTCTAGGCACCAACTGTATGACCTGGGGCCGATTACTTAACCTTTACCTGCCTCAGTTTCCACATCTGAAAAATGGATAATAATAGTACATATCTTGCAGGGTTGTTGTGATGAGATATTATCTCAAATGAGATGTAAAGTGCTTTGTAAAGCACTAAATAAATGCTAGCCATTAATACTGAGATAAATATGCATAGCTATCATTAGTACATTCTTTGAAACGCACACTTGTTACGACTCCAAAGGACTCATGATGGAAAATGTTGTCCACATCCAGAAAAAGAACTATGGAGTCTGAATGCAGATCGAAGCGTACTATTTGCTCTCTCTCTCTCTCTCTTGTTTTTTTTTACCCCATTTTTTGTTTGTTTCCTCTTTCTCGTGGTTTCTCCCATTTGGTTCTAATTCTTCTTTATAACATGACTAATGTAAAAATATGTTTAATATGAATCTATATGTAGAGCCTATATCAGACTGCACACTGTCTGGGGGGGGGAAGGGAGAGATGGGGAGAAAATTTGGAACTCAAAATCTTAGGAAAGTGAATGTTGACAACTAAAAGTAAGTAAATAAAAGAATGCACACTTGTTATACAGATATCATGAACCAGCTTGTACAAATACGGTGACCAGAGCTGAGAAGCCAACCTGGCATGTTTAGCTCTTAGGAGGAACAATATTCACCTGGTTTCTGGGGTTTCCCTAATATGTTCACTATGGTTTCAAGAGTCCATCCAAGCAGTTAAGCCACCACACCTAGCAACAGAGTGGCGCTCAGTCATCACCTGCAATAGATGGAATGGTTGAACAGAAAAAGAGAGATACTCAGTTCAGTCCAGCAGAGGCTAAACAGCTCTGTCAAGCACTAAGATGATGATAAAACTACACTTACAGGTGTGACCTCAAACTACTTATAGAGCCTCATTTTCTTCTAAAGAGGCTTTCCATATAAAAGGATGAATAACCTCTCAACACCATCTCTTGCTGGAACAGGCCACATCACTATTATTTTTTGTAAGTGACAAGAGGAACAATTGCCAGGCATGTTAAAAGCAAAAACGTTAGTACTGTTTATTGTTTTGTGTTTAAAACCACTTTAAACCCCCTAATTGCCAAGCCATCTTATTGAGTCAAAGACCATGCCAACCCAGCTAACAGGCTGCGTCACAGTGCCAACAGAATTCTGGACCCTTTCCAGAGCTGGCAGCAAATTCAGGACTTGAATTCCAGATGCCTGGATCCTTGTTCAGTCCTACTGGAAAGAGCCCAGGTTTTCAAGAACCAAGGTCTGAATCCTGTCA